CTCATTGAATGCCTCTAAATGTCAGGATGTTGTGTTTTCCCTCTTGGCCGGTGTACCATATTCAGCCCTTACAGATAGGTTCCCCACCCTCTCTGCAAATCAACAACCTCTACCGAAATCAAAAATTGTAAAATACATTGGCGTCACCCTATCACACAATTTATCATGGTCTCTGCACGTTCAAAACACATTCTGGAAAGTTAGAAAACTTTCATATTTCCCACTCTGATTGAGATTACTTTCTGTTCCCCACAAGCTGATTGTTAGATTTGTGAATGCATGCGTGCTACCCCACTGGTTGTACTGCTCTCCATTAATTTTTCCCGGTGTGTTGAAGAAAGACTTTTACTTACTGGCGAGATCTCTGAAACACATCTCTAAATATAGCGGCATTGCCAGGGATAAACTCGCCGAATATATCATTGACGGACACCTACAGGCATCTGAAAATTTCGCCGCCAAAATACTCTCAGACACTCACCACCCATCACACAACGAATTTTCAAAAGCTGTGTCTACATCATCCACACGCTCAAGATTTAAACTTTTATTTGCACGTCCCTGTGCTCACCGTAACTGTTCTGCCATGTCTGGCACGTCTACTTATAGACAAGGACAAAATTTCCATGGAATTGCGCACCCGCTTGCTTCGTTGACAAACACCTCATTGCTTTCAGTTTCATCGTATAATCATTTTGTAAATTTGAATCCAGAAATATGGTGTAATTGCAGAAAATACACCCATCCAGGTGCATAAAGCTACTACTGTTTGATTGAATATATCTCAATATATATCAATATTTGGGAAGAAAATAAAATAAAATCATAGATTACTAGAAATGAGATTAGAAATTAGATTCGCCACGATTACATATTTGTTTATCCAATCATCTGATCATCGAGACTACTCGCGATACAGCGTGTGTGCAACTCACCTGGATCTTCATTTAGTAGCACAATATCGTCTGCATACTCCAGGTCATACAATCTCCCACCTGGGAGCAAATCGATGCCTCTCTCCGCGCACGACGTTAAGACTGTTTTAAGAATTACATAGATTGTAGAAACATATAAACTAAGTTGCCTTGGTAAGGTTACAGCATAGGTACTGAAGTCGGTGAAATTCATGTAGTTTTGTTTCAAACTTAAGACAAAGTCAGGCTTCAGAATCAGGGACTTTATCTTTAAACCGTAACTACACCAGTGGACCCGGTGGGAAATCAGTTCAGAGCTTGGCATGTTTTCTTGATAGTGTGTGATATTCTTTTGTGTACATTCCTTCAGTTCTTCCTTTGGAATGAAGCACATTGGCTGCAAGACTTCCTGCTCGTCCGAACACATTGGTGAATAATTTCCTTTTTAATTGCGATTTGTGACAAGTAGTTCGTAGGGGCTTTGGTTTCGCATCTTGATACCACCTACACCATAAATGTAACAGAAGCGACGCGACCCTTGCATGTGTTCCAAACCAAACCGTGTAGATTGATGAGGTTGCGCATTTCCGCCACAACAGGGGCGGTCGGGATCCTTCTCTACAATCTCCATTTGTGCACCTATAAACAGTTTATGCAACCAGTTGAGT